ACCACCCAGCACGCCCGAACCAGCCCCCACCAGGCGACCGCTTCCGCCAACGCCACCAGGACGTGCCTGGCTTGAGCCGGGATGAGCTTGAGCTGGGATTGAGGCAGGCTGGGCTGGGAGCGAGCAGCCACAGGGTGGCTGGAGAGAGCCGCTGTGATGGAGCTGCCGCCATCCCTGCCCTGCAGCCGGCAAGGACCGGCTCTCTTTTCCCCTGGCCGGACCATCAAGGTGACCCAAATCGGTGCTGAACAGACATGGGGGGGGACGTAGCAGGGACAGATGTCAGGCCAGCACCCTCCTGGGTGGGACGTGCTCTCTGCTCCCCCAGCCCCACGCCCTGGGCAGCAGCAAGGAGGACCCATGCACAGCCTCACATCCTCAGAGGTGCTGTGCTACCTGGAGAGCTGCAAGGATCCTGTGCCCTGTGCTGCCTGCAAAGCCCGTGGGGTGCCAGCACCCCGTTCCCAAAGCAAGGGGTAGAGATGGGCTCGACGAGCTGTCGGTGACCCGGCAGGGGGGCTGCCTGCATCGCTGCCCGCCCCAGCGCAGCGGGGCAGAGGTGGGGATGTGAAGCGGAGCCAGGGCGCGCGGGCTGCCTGCGTTCACACAGCCACGCCTGGCCAGGAACGTGTTACGAAAGAGCACGCGGGGACCCGCCTCAAACCTCTGGCACAACATCACAGGGGATAATAATAATAATCCGAAACTCAATTAAAGCCGGCAAGCCAACAGAGCAGCAGCAATAGAGTGGCACAGAGGAATGATTAATAACGAAAGTCCGAGGTTTCAACATTTGTTTTTGTCCCGCATGAGAAGACAACGCTGGATCCCTGCGGCTCACAGGCAGGGAGCGGGCAGCGGGCAGGGAGCGGGCAGCGGGCAGGGCCGTCCCCCAGTTCGGACGTGGCTGCCCTGCTTTGGGGAGAAGGGTTGAGCCGCATGGACGCAGCTGTGCCCCATGAAGAGATGTCCCCAGCCCATTCCCTTCCCCAGCGGTGACATGGTGGCCCTGCGATGGGCAGATGCAGGCAGGAGAAGGCTGGCACGCTCTGCCCAACTCCTGCATCCATGATCAGACAGGTTCCGTGTGGAGCCGCCATGCAGTGCACTCCAGCACCCTCAGGAGCGGGAGCTCAGCGCCATATAGGCTTTGCAGCTCGCCCCACCCTGGAGATGGATTCCCGGCTTGCTGGAAAGCTGCTGGCTCCCGCGTGGGTGCAGCCACAGAGCAGCGGGGTCTCTCAGCCACCTCAGGGAAAATAGCTCTGCCTTAGGAGTGGGGCCAAAGGGAGGGTGCCGAGGGCAGCGGGCGTCCCTCAAGGGCATCTCCTTGCCCTGGGTCACGGCGGAAGGCTCTGCTCTGGCTGAGGGACAGCAGCTCCCAGCTCCTCCGGTGGCATCCAGCCCCTCCCCTGGCTGGACTCCTACTGGCAGCAGCAGGACGGACCCTCTCCCACCCTGAGCGCAGGACGGGGACGAGGGGAAGCGAGCGAGCCCCTGCTGCTGGGAATGGGAGGAAGCGAGCCCCTGCTGCCGGGCAAGTCCCCGCCTGGAGCAGATGCCCCGGGGGCTGTGCTGGGTTGATGCCGTGGCAGGGTGGCTGCAGCTTGCTCTGCTCTCAGCCATCTGCCACCACGGCTCTCCCGGCACCGTTTCCTGCCCAGCTTCGTCTGGCTACATCAGTGCTGGTACACGAACGGGGACGGGGAAGGTTCCCACCAACGGGAACTCACTCATTGAGTTTTTACTTCCATTTCTGGCCTGACCTGGGCTCGAGCCGACTAGCAGGCTCCCAGCCGTCTGGGCACGGCTTGGGTGCTGGCGTGGGCCAGGGGCTCCTCTGGCTCTGCCGGCTGCCTGCCCAGTGGCCTGGGGGCTGGTGGGGTCGAGCAGTGTGGGCACAGGCTGATTGCACGAGTCCCGCTTGAGCAGGGATTGCTGCTGGGACAGTGGCTACATGTGTCCAGGGACCTCCGAGCTCCCAGACTGATTGCGCGGCGTCAGGACAGGTCCTTACAGGTCCATCACCAGCCTCCTTGAGCCCCTTAGCAAACCACAGGACTTGAAGAGTGCGGGATGGGGACTGTAGTTCATTCTCCTCCTGCCTTTCCCCAAGCCCGAAGCAGGGCTGTTTGCCCAGCCTGCCGTCCCCGTGCTGGGCTGGAGCCTCGCACCCAGCCCACACGTAGGCAGGGACCCTCTGCTTGACCGGAGGGCTGGGAGCCACAACCTGGGGGCAGATCCCCGTGAGGGTATGGTGGAAATGCAATGAAGGCAGTTGGCCCAAGGCTCGCACCGCGCTTACCAAGCACCGCGCCATAGTGTTGCTCCTTAAACCACGCCAGCTCCCTTTGCACGAGGCATTCGCCTGGTTGCAGCATGGCCACCTCCTTCGCATGTCCCGTGCTTTGTGGCGGCTGCCTTCAAACAACACTCCCCCCGCAGCCAGCCCCAAACTCACCTCGGCTAAACCAGAACCGAACTGAGACAAGGTTTAAAAGACCTTCAAGTCATCCCGTAGCCTAAGAAAGACCAAACCTCAGGGAAGGTCAGACAAGGTTTGCTCTTGCTGCAGCGAGGTGGGGTCTCCTGCAGAGCATGGTGACGTCCCGCTCTTGCAGATACCAGGGCCCGTCGCTGGGCGATGCCTTGGCTCGCGAATGGCTGGCGGCCCCAAAAGGGTGGCTGTTTCCCCGGCAGCATCACCGCACCGCTCAGATGGGATGCTCGTTACAGCCGGGAGTTAATCACGCGGTGGCGACGGCTATTGTTTCTTCACTTCCTCTTGTTATTTCCCCTCTCGGCAGATGGGGAGATCACTTCCAAGCCAATGGTGCTATTCCTGGGACCGTGGAGTGTTGGCAAATCCTCCATGATAAACTACCTCCTCGGTCTGGACGACACTCCCTACCAGCTCTACACAGGTACCACGCTCACCGCTCCCTCCCTGCTCTGCCGAGGGTGCGCTGGCACCTGCATTTCTGCATCCGCGCGGTCAGCGATTCCTGGCTGCACCTCTTTGATCCCCACCCCCTTACGGCAGGGAGGTTGCGATCGGGGTCCATGCCGCGCGGTTGCGGTGGCACATGGAGGGAGAGGTTCCCCACCGCGGCCTAGGGCCTGTCCACCCTCCCTGGGGAGGAGGAGGGCATCTCATCCAGCAGCATCCCCATCCCGCAGCACGGGGCTCACCGCCTCTGACCCGGACCGCGAGAGCAGCGGTCACGTTGCAAGGGCAACTCGCCCTTGTCTTCTCCCCTTCCCTCCACACGTGGAGCCAATTAATTCGCCCTCCCAGGAAAAAAGCCATTCCCCTTCCCTCCTCCCTGCTCCCACGGATGTCATCTCGCAGCTGAGGGCAGATGTCTGTGGCCAGCTCTGCGCCGGGGTAGCGAGGGCTCCCAGGAGGTGGTTCTCCAGGGCACCTTGTGCAGTCAGGCCACTTCCAGAACGACCAGTCTCCGCAGAAAACAGCCCTGCTAGCATGTTCTCAAGAGGTTTAGCAAGAATTTCATGGCCCCACTGCTTGCCTTGCCCCAACATCTCTTGGCAAGCGAGTGATACTCCTGAGCTCCCTGGCTAGTCCCAGGCCAGCCCTGTCACGTCCATTGCCCAGCATGGATTTCACAGCTCTGCTGCTCCTCTCGTTGCTGGGCAGGGGCAGAACCCACCACCTCCGAATTCACTGTCATCATGCATGGCCCCAAGCTGAAGACCATCGAGGGCATCGTGATGGCTGCTGACAGTGCCCGCTCCTTCTCGCCCCTGGAGAAGTTTGGGCAGAACTTCTTGGAGAAGCTGATAGGGATCGAGGTGCCCCACAAACTGCTGGAGCGAGTCACCTTCGTGGACACACCGGGCATCATTGAAAACCGCAAGCAGCAAGAACGAGGTAGGGGTTTACTGGATTCATCTAAGGGACTCCAGAAAACATGTCGTACCGATGTGAGATGACAAAGATGGCTGAAGCACAACGGGGAAGAGCCCCAGGCTACAAAAGGGGTCTTGCATCGGAGGGGATGGTGACGTTTGTCTGGCCATGGCTGCGGCAGCAGCAGCTGGGGCCTGGGGAATGCACCCGACTGTCATCAGCTAGAGCAGCCGTTTCTGCTGTTCGGAGGTGTGACAGTCAGGCATTTCGGCAAGGTGTTTCCCGGGGACTCCTCGGGCTGTTGATTGTCTGCCTTGGCTCAGCATTTAATGTCCTGTTTGTCGCCCTTGGAGCCAGGCTTTGGCAATGGCTGGTGCTACAGCAGGGCCCAGAGAAGCACCATCCCCACAGCACCTGGGATGCCAGGACAGGTCAGCAGGGCTTCTTGACCCACTCGGTGCCCACTGGGGAGAGCAATGATGTGGCCGATACTGGCTCACAGGAGCAGCGGAAATCTGTGGCCAGCAGCAGGGAGAAAGAAGGTTTGGAGGTGAGGTTGAGGGAGACATGCAGGCCCAGACACACAGGGATGGGTTTTCATGCCAAGAAACTCTGAAGTGTTTTCAGCATATGAGAAACAGGTTCTGGGCTGCATGGGAAGTCTGCTGTGTCTCACACCCTGTCCAACCCAGACAGGGCGTGAGGCATGGCAGGCTCAAGGTTTATTTAACCCTTGACCTGAAGGCACCCATCCTGTGCTGGCCATTTCTGCTGGATTTCTCTCTTTCCTCTCCTTAAGGTTACCCGTTCAACGACGTGTGCCAGTGGTTCATTGACAGAGCTGATCTCATCTTTGTTGTCTTTGACCCTACGAAGCTGGATGTGGGCTTGGAGCTGGAGATGCTGTTTCGCCAGCTGAAGGGCCGCGAGTCTCAGATCCGAATCATCTTGAACAAAGCTGACAGCCTGGCTACCCAGGAGCTCATGAGAGTCTACGGTGCCTTATTCTGGAGCCTGGCTCCTCTCATCAACGTCACGGAGCCACCCAGGGTGTACGTTAGCTCCTTCTGGCCCCAGGACTACCATCCGGATACCCACAAAGACCTGTTCCTCAAAGAAGAGATATCGCTCCTGGAAGATCTCAACCAGGTGATTGAGAACAGGATGGAAAATAAGATCGCCTTCATACGCCAGCATGCCATCCGGGTGCGCATCCACGCCCTTTTGGTCGATCGCTATCTACAGACCTACAAGGACAAAATGACCTTCTTTAGCGATGGAGAACTGGTGTTCAGGGACATTGTGGAAGATCCTGACAAGTTCTTTATCTTTAAGTCCATTCTGGCAAAGACCAATGTCAGCAAATTTGACCTCCCCAACCGCGAGGCTTACAAGGACTTCTTTGGCATCAACCCCATCACCAGTTTTAAGCTGCTGTCTCAGCAGTGTTCCTACATGGGAGGGTGTTTCCTAGAGAAGATCGAGAAGGCCATCACTCGCGAGCTTCCCGATCTCTTGGGAAGCATCGGCTTGGGAAAGAAGCCCAACATTCTCTCCTGCGACATCACTGGCTGTGGCGAAACCCCAAAGAATCGCTACAGGAAACCCTAAGGTGTTCTGTAACATAACCGTCCACGTGTTCCTACCGGTGAATGAGCTTATGTCTTATCTGTCCAAGAAGCCACGGTTTGTTAACCCTTTGAGTGCCACACTGGCAAAGGCTACTGTACGATGAGGACTTTGAGTCATTGACATCGATGGCAGGGGAAGATGGGTGGGCATAAGAAAGAGAATAAAAACTGTGAATTCCTGACATTTTATCTTTGTTCTTTCGAGTAGAAGGCAATGTTTAAGCTGTAAGTATGAGCAATGCACGGTGAGCTAGAACTGTAGCTGCTTTTTCACTGGTGCCAAGAGTACATGAACAGGAATTTCAACCGCTGCATCCCCGAAGCCGGCAGGAAGCGAGAACGAGGGCACGATGTGAGAGCCCAGGGGAGAGCGGTGACACACTAACCCGGGGCATCACCGGGAGCCCCGGGGGCAAAGCGCTGGGCAGGGAAAGAAAGGCCAAGTCCCAGCTGTTGTTTTCAGGCACAAACATCCTACAAATCTCTGCAAATATTGATCTTGTTTTTCTTTCCGAGACTTTTAGGTCGCTCAGTGAGTTCTCCTTTCGCATAACAGCTGAGTTGAACTTCTGCAGCCTTCACCTGGGTGTTTGCCTTAAGAAGGGGCTTTTGCAGGGGCATTTGTAGCTCCAGACAGGTAGCCGTGATGGGATTTGCAAGTCCATGTCAGAGGAAGAAGTGGGCTGGAAAGGAGCTGCCAGCACTGGCCGCGCTGTGCTGCAGGAGGAGGACCAGCACCCCAAATCACACAGTCCTGCAAGGAGCAGTGAGCAGGTTTTCCTCGCCCTGGGCCACCACAGGGACAGGGCACTTGGTCCCTGCGTGTGCCGCCAACCTCAAAAACCCATCCTGGCCAGACAAGCCTGAGGATCAGCAGGGCTCCGAGGGTAAAGCATTTAGCAGTTCTACCTTGTTCAAGTCCATGTTGCTGTTTTCTCAGAGTCAGACCCCCATGTTTGTGTCCTCTGTGGAGGGAGGCAGGAATGGGGGGGGCACTAGCCGCATCCTTTTTGCCCATCTGCTGATCTGTTCTCCCTAGGACAACCCAGGCAGGTTTCTCCGGCTTGTTTGCCAAACTTCCCCTGTTTTAGCCACGATTTTGTTGGCTCATCTCTGTGCATCGGCGCTCAGTCCTGGGAGGAGAAGGAGTATTGCTTCGGAAGCACCCGAGCAGGGTGAGGTTCCCCGCGGACAGCTGACCTTGAAACCTGGCAGTGAAAGCCAGAGGATTAGGGCTGGCCTTGTCACTTGGCCCTCACGGCCAGCACGGCAGGCTGCCGAGCCGAGCACAAACCAAGAGGTAGATGTTGCCCTGGATGGAGACTGGTGCCTTCAAGCCCACCAACGACCTGCTAAACGTCCTTTCTCCTTCCTCCTGCCAAATGACCACAGCTAGGGCTGCTCTCCAGGAAACCTCTGGAGCAGGGGGACTTACCTTTGGCAGGAACAAGAAGACATGGATGTGCCACATGAGGCAAGAAAAAGGCAAAAGGAATGAAAGAGGGAAAGAGAAAGCTGGGAATGGAAGGCTGTTGTGATGGGAAGGGTGTGAAGGGCAGTGCCCCTCATCTCCATGTGCCCAACGGGACATGGGCCAAGGCAGAAGGTCCATGGGAGCTCCACGTCCCCCGGCACTGAGGCCAGGCGCTGCAAAGAAGAGGCCCCCTTGAGTCTAGGTGAGTTTGGGGGGACGCCACCCCAGGGAATTCCGTGCTCCTTGCCTCTGCTTTGAGGTAGGACTCTGCCTTTGAACTAACGAAGACGAGACCCAAATCTACATCCAAGCATGGGAAGGGGCATGGCTCGTGCAGAGGGATTTTGCCCACAGCGCAGAGGGGACCGGTGGTACGAGTGAAGGCAAGCAGCGTGTCAGAGAAAGCATCAGCCAGAACAGCCCGGAGAGAAGTGGTGCGCTCGTGAGTCAGTGCCGCGAGGTCTCAAACCTGCCCCAGAGCTGCTGCCCTGCTCCGCTGCTGTTCCTTCTTCTTTCTTGTACATGATCCCCTTGCTCGTCGGCGTCCCTCTCTGTCTCACCCACTCCTCCTCGTCTCCCACTCTCCTCCGCTGGGCTAGTCTGCATGGTTTTCTTAAGAACTAATGGAATAGAAACACCGACAGAAATGAGCTAATATTGTCACTGTTCCTGCCGTCACACTGTGTGCCACTGTCACAGCAAGCAAAGGCCACCAAATGTTTCTATTTGCAAGCGCCGTATCGTGCCATCTCTTTCCTTGCTGCCCTGTCCCCCCAAAGCCCGTGGGCTCTGGGGTACCCAGGGAAAGGCCCCCATCCCGGGGAGGAGCTCTGACTCTCCCTTATGGCCTTGAACCTGAAGGCACCGTCGCTCTGCTCTCGGGCCGCTCCCGTCGTTCTCCCCATCTGTTTTCCTTTTCTCTTGCTCTATTCTCCAGCACGCGTTGCCTCCTCTCCTCCCTTTCTCTTCCCCTTCAGCACCCACACGCCCTGTGCAAAGCCCTGGTGCCCGTGTCCCGGATGGGGCTCCTCTGTGACGGCCAAAACCTTTTTTCCTCCCCCGATATCATACGTTAGGGGTCTCTTTCCAAAGCGATGCCAGCAATGGTCCGAAGCTGGGGCTGTTTTCTGCTGCCCATGACACACGCTGACTCAGCGCCGTGCTGGCTCGGGGAGATGCCAACACCAAGATGTTTTCTCTACCATGGATCCAAGTGGCTGTCAGTCCCAAGAGGACTGCAGTCCCCAGCCCAGCTCCCTCCGAGCTTTCTTAGGAGAGCTCTGGGAACCTGGGGGTGGAAACGGGGAGCAGGAAGACCTTTTCATTTTGCCAAGAAACCCCAAGCCCCTGCGGTGCCAGGGGGGGGGGGGGTCTCGCCCAGGAGCATCGCAGGAGGGAGGGAGCTGGGACACAGGCCCACGTAGATGCCCGTGATCGTGTGCATTGGGATAAACTGTCAGCTTGAACATCAGCCTGTCTAATAAAACCTGGTATTTTCCAAACAGACTCCCTGGAGATGCTTGTTTTGTTTCTCCTGCCGGTGCGGTGCGAGTGCTGGGGCTGGGGTGGCCCGGGGCGTGCAGCTGCAGGGAGCGAGGCAGGAGCTCCTGTCTCCTTCCCCGCGCCCCGGCCTCGTACCCGTCCCTCACGCGGGACCTGCCAGCCCCACCTGAGCCATTTGGTTGCTTTTTCCAACCGGGCTTCCCGTGCCGTAGGCACAAACCGGCAAAGTGAACCCCAGCTCCTTTGCTTTGCGCTTCAGGGCAGCGCGATCCTCCCTGGTGGGACAGATCCTTGCTCCCACCCGCACCAGGAGATGCCTTTTGAACCCCCTTTGTGTGTGGTCCCCCTCCTCCTCCCCCCCTCACAGAGGCCCCACCACGCTGAGTGCTC